GGTGCAGTTTGAGGGTGTGTTACGTGGGTAGAGGTTTGGGGGGAGACAAGATAATGCTACAGTACTTTTTAAAATATTAAACTCAGTTTATTTCATTTACTTTTATCAAAATTTATTAAAAAAATCTGATTTTAATCTCTAAGAACAAAATTAAATATTGAATAAATATAAATAAGCAGAGATATTTCTTCTTCTTCTTTTTTTAAAAGAACTTTTACTATTATTCATTTTTAAATAAATGAAGATTTTAAATTCTTTAAGAACCCCTTTTTCTCAAAAAATATCTACGATTGCGTAAATAATTTTACGAATAAGTGGACCGTATCGACTTAAAAAATGGCTAATAAATAATATGCATTGAATAAAGTAAGTAAATTTTTTAATAAAAATTAGGTGCCCTAAATCAAACCATACGAAACAAAATTAACATTTTCAATTTTTTAATATAACAATTTCAATTGGTTGATGGGTTCTTTGTACGCCCCTGCATCAAACATCATTTCAGGTGAAAGTATTTCCAATGAAACCATACAAAAGCAAAATGCTATATATATATTGGTAAATTTGGAATCATAGTCCGTAGATAATAGTTCAATAAATAAAATTTGAAACATAACATAAATCTGTCTTCAAGTCATAAACGAATAAAAAACAAATTTAATTATATATATATCTTCACACTCAGCGCACTCAATTTCCACCTCATAAATCTCATATCGTACGTATCTTCTTTCTTTTTCTTTTTTTTTTAAAGTAAAACGCCACCAAAGCTTAAGCATGATTTTTAGGCCTCCGTCTAGACTTTGTGAATGAATTTGAATTCCTTGATCGAAGTACAAACGAGAGAGGTACGTGATTGACTTACCTCCAAAATTTTCATCTTAAAAAAACGACAATTGAAAGTAATAAATGTGGAAACACTATTATGATTATAGTTATAATAAATTATAACTTGACTACATGATATACTACTATTTAAATCAAGCATATGTCTATCTATAATAAAAGAAAATACAAAAAGAAAGAAGGGAACTTTTCTTTTTTCCTTTTCAAGTAATACTAAAATTTCTCGGATTATATATCCAATACCTTAAAATAAAATTATATTAATTAATTTTGAAAATGGTGAAAAATAAAATTCTAAAAATAGCAAAATTTTGGGATGACAAAAGATAGTGCGTAATTGTGTCTATCTATAGAAGGCGTCTGATTAGTGGGTTGTTCTGTAACTCAAAATATATAAGAGACGAAAGTTGCAGCAGCAGAAGAACCTTTAGTTCTGACCCCACCCAACACTTGCTTACACCACAATTTCCTATATAAAGTTCGATACTAACTTTTAGTTACATTTTTGGATTTAACACGATTCTTATCTGTTTCCAATTTTTCTCGTGATCAACATAAATCAATAATTATTTTTAATCATATATTTTATTAGAATAATAAATTTTTAATCATATATTTCATTGACTTTTATTGAAATTTATTAAAAATTTGATTTTTATTTGACACAAATCAACAAGATGAGCATTTACATCTACCTAGGCAAGATAGACATTATAATAGCCCAAATTTTCATCATAAGCAATACTCCATCTACGAGAGGAGAAGGTCGACACTCCTTAGAATTAGTCAGGTGAACCTTGGACACCTGAGTTATAAAAATAAAATAAAAAATGAGAAAAGAATACTCAATCGATATGACAGCATGGAGTAAATTTGATTTGTACAACGTCGTCAAATAGGGTTCTTCTTTATTGTTTTAAACAATATATTTGGTTGGACTTCGTCTGCGTTAACTCGTTCATCAAAATGGGGTCATTTTATGTCAAAATAGATGAATTCCATCCGGACCAAAAGTTCCTGTCGATGGACTTTGTCATGGTCTCTTTGTACTAAGTGCGTTGTAACTCGAAGCATTAGCACATCTATTAATGCATGTTAATCATTCTTTGGAATGAGCAAATTTTTTCATTTTTAACAAGAACCTAAGCTATAGCAAGCGATTCAAAATAAAAACTCCTTTGATGAGAGAATGTTAAAAACTATTTACAAATGAAATAGAAATCCGATTGTCCCTTTTTATGTAACAAAATTCTGTCAACATGATTCCCAGCAATAAATTTGTGCCTGATGGAGTCATGTATGATTGTTGCATTAAATATTTCTAATGAAAAGATAAAGACAATCACTTTTTATATATATTATTTTAGTAAAGACCTGATTAGGGCCCTTTTCCATACCAATTTTATTTCTTTTTTGTTTTTAATATCAAAGTTTGGCAAGTACAACTTTAAATAATGTCATACAATACGTTGAAAAGAACGAGCTCATTGCAGCATGTTTATTCGAACAAACGCGCCAAGTTACATTATCCGTAAAACTGTTGAAGTTAGGACAACAGATACGTAGTTTATGATCCACTTCGATTAACCGTAACTATTATTGAGGTAAAAGATTTTAACTTGTGCCGTGAAATGATCAACCACGAGATTCTCAAGTCAATGCTAAGTCGGCAACGTAAACCAGCAAACATTCACAAACCCACAATAAATTATCTTCTAAAAGTAACATATATGTTCATATCTTAGCGAATGTCATACATATGAAGTTGACAATATTAATCGAAAACAGATGGCAGTCATGTAACAACATTAATTAAGAGTTTGGCCGGTGGAGTATTATTCCATTTTGACTAAAAAGATTTTCCATGATCTTCGAGCAACTTGCAAGACTAAATTATTATTAATGGAAGTAATTATAGGCCATTAGAAGAGAAGATTTTTATTAATAATTGAATTGAAAAATAAATAAATAAAAATGGTCCACCACCAGCCTTGACCTATAAAAATCCATCAAATTTAAAATCTTAATTAATTTGTTTGATAAATGGGGCCTATGGATAACATCGTTGCACGCAAATTGCCAGCACGACTTATTCTTTCATTGCAAATTCTCGATCGAAAATTTTGTTTTTATTTTTGTTTTTGTTTTTTTTTAATTGTTCGTTTAAAGATATTCATAGATTCTTATTTTTTCTATGATAATTAATGTATTGTTTAGGGATAATTTGCAAAATGTTATAAGATTTTTACGGGGTGATTATATTGTCACCAAAATTTTCTTTTAGTGCATTTTTTTATTGTCTAGAAGGTTCTCAACTTTTGATCAATGTCACACTTATATTCTTAAACTATTTTTGTTGCATTCTTATCATTAATCTTTCATTAATTAGCACATTTGATCGCTGATGATGACTTTTATACAAATTGATTTAAACAATTTAAATTACAAATAGATATGAATCAACGATGGATAAGTGAATAATAATTGTAAATTTCTTCAAATATGTAAATAAACAGTGGTTTAAATATTTGTAAGTAGTTTATAAACATAGGCCAAACGAGCTTGCGTAATCCATCACATTCAAAATTTCTCAAAATTCCACGTTAGGGTACACTACTCGAGTTGGTAGGTATTGAGAAGTGTTCAGCTTGTGTTTACTAGTATCTGGTGAAAGCCAAGGTCAACAATAAATCAAGACGTGGCATATAGGTTCACGTCTCGGCTCGACAGATAGGATGACCTCAATTTACTGGAAAATTGCAATGGTGATTTGTTTACGCGTCTAAATTTCAATATATAACACGTACGTAAGATATTAGTACTATAATTGTACTAAGAAAGCAATGTCCAAACCTAAATATGGGTGGGCAATGTTATTAATTGGAAGCTGTTGTGGAAGTGGGCTGCAAACCATAATTAAAATACATATTAATCTACACCTAATCCCATTACTTATAGTAATTAACATTTATTTAAATGTTACTTGAATTCCAGTCTACACTGGAAGAATCGAGAGAGAGTGTTTGTGGCACTTCTACCATTACTTGATATAGTTCGTGGTCCACTAAAATTTCACCTAATTAGAAAATCAATTATTTTAATCTATAAACGATATTTAAATTCAGAATAAAACATAAAAAGAATTACTCCCTCCGTCCAATTACATTAGGCCGAGTTTTCCATTTTAGGGATGACAAAAACTCCCGCCCGCCC